ACACATACCTCGTTACTGGCATCGGCCGCCGAATCATACTGACGTCTGGTATCCCACGAACAGAGGAAGGCTGGAAATTATCCTGATACGTTCTCCAACTAGCTGCAAGATCGAACGGCGAAACTCTATCCGCTTTAATGAACACTTTGTACTCAAGAATATCATCACTGCTGAACTTAAACATAGCCGACCTCCTGTCCCCTCCCAACGCACCCCCTGTCAATTGCCTGTTCGAACCTTCCTCCAAAATACACGGGACATTGCCGTACTTCGGTTTCAACAGAAACTTGAAATCCAACGTCTCTATTCAAATTTCAAATAAACGAGACAGAGAGATTATCAGAATTTGAAAAATACACAGACACAACAAATTGAGGGTACAGATTATAAAATAATGGAGGTAATTACCATGATTAGGGGGTACAACAAAACTTAATTCCCACATAGAAGCCGATTCCCGCTCCATCGAGAGCTGAATTGAGTTCACAGTATAGCTAGTTCATCAGTAATTAATTACCAAAATTGGAAGGAGAAGAGTATGCGAATCGATTTCATCATTTTTGCAAATGAATTTAGAAATTAAATAAAAATGAAAGGGGAAGCGAAAACGTACGGCTCGGGAGGGGTCCCAGGAGCCGACGAGGGGAACGGAGCCGTAGACGTGGGGGATGAGGTCGCCTTTAGGGTTGTAGTTCTCCATTTTGAGAGAGACGTAGAGTTGGCCGCCGGCTTGGTCTTCTCGCTCGTCGCTGCCATGGGAGCTGCTGTCGGGGTTCTTCGATGCACCGGTGCCCATTTCTGTTTGTTTGGAATTAACTGGTCATGAGAATGTGGGGGATTGATTGAAAGGGGATAAGAATGGAAATGGAATAACAGAGTAGCGTGGTGGTGGGGGAAGAAGAAGAAGGAGGAGGATATGCTGTGTGTTACTTTTAGGATGTGGATTCTGGTTCTGGTTCTGGTTAAAGGAAGTGGTGGTGGTGGTGGTGGCCATGGATAGTAGGGAGGGAGTAGGGCCCTAGAACGAATCTATTATTTATTATTTAATATTAATATAATATTAGGATTATCCATCCAAGTATTACTCACTACACATGTCTCTGTTACCTTCGATCAGATTTTACGTTACTTCTCTTTTTTTTTTTTTTTTTACGAGTCAAAAATCAAAATACTTTTAACAGAATAATTAAAAACTATGGGCTCTTGAGGAAACCCTCATTATTTTTTTATTTTTTTTTTAAAAGAAGTAGCACCCAACTATATCGGTACACTGGGGTAACATTCTTGTATAATAAATTGAAAATCATATATGAGTAAATCACACTAGATTAACCATGTGTGACAAGCTCGACCTAGCGACTGTTGGCAAGGGGACTTGAATCTAGGTCAATTGACACAAAACAACTTGCTCCAACCGCTAGATCATCCCACGGAGGACAAAAAGATGTGGGATGGGGGTGCAAAACAAGGACTTCCCGGGTCACCCATTTCCAGCCATATTTTTTTTTCCAATTTTGCCTCCATCCGCCACATCATCATTGCATCACCACCGCCCCTCCCCCTTAATCATTTCGTCACGCGCTGGTCATCGGCTGTTTTTTTTTTTCGTTTTCTTTTTACTTTTTTTACTGTATGAGTTTTATAAAATCAACTATGAAACATAGTCGATTAAGGAAATTCTTTTTAAAAAAATTGTTTTCCTTTTTTTCTCTATCAGGTGTATTAATCGCCTGTAAAGCATAGTCGATTAAGAACCTGACTACTTAAATAACAAATTACAACTACAAAAAAAGGCCAAATCAACTATATTTTACAAAAACAAAAAATATGAAAACATTATAATTGATTATACAATTCGGATAAATAAACAAAAAATTCAAAAAAAAAATTAAATTGGAGTTGATTAACCTTAATCGACTACTGAACATAGATTAAGCCTTAATCACTATTGAACACGTATGTAATTGATTAAGGGTCCAGCCTGCGCGAAATTTCTCTACTCGCGCCGTCCTCCGCTCAATTTGTAGTAATTTCCGATGAGTATATAGTGGATTTTAATTTTCGTAACCCTGTGAAGAAATAAAAAAAATTGAAATAAAAAAACAAAAAATTAAAATAAAATTGGGCGTTAAAAACCATATGTTTTAGACCTGGTGGAAAAAATAAAAAACTAAATAAAAAAACTGAAATAAAATTAAAGTAATATTTGGTTTTAAAATCGAAATTAAAAAATCATACTTTTTTTTGAAGTAATTACCGGCCAACCGACTTTGGAGTAAATTAAAAACCATCGACCGAGACATTTAAACACGGGCCGGTTAAAATTATCGGCCCAATTATATGGGTCGGTTAATTATCTGTAATTGGCAATCAAAAGTGGGTCGATTAGCCGATAAAACCGGGCCATGGCCAGCCTTTTACCTATAAGTATATATTTAGGGTTTTATGGTGTTTTTAGTGTTTTGGTAAAAGAGTTTACATACACACCTAAATAGTTGAGTCGTAGGCCATAGCCTATAATCTTGTTGCTACACAAGAACTCCATAATCACGCTGTCAACAAAGCCGATAATAATACATCAAATCTTTTTCTACTCAAAAACTCAAATACTTCTTCTAACGGAGAAGGGGTTTCTCTGGTTAAATTTAACGGCAGAAAACTGAAAACTGTACAGGTATTGGACGCACCTTACGGCTGTGATCACGTCTTATGCTTCTGCGACGGCCTCCTTCTCGTAAGCCGCTTTTTAAGCGGCGCAATCGCATTGTGGAATACATCCACTCGAACAATAGAAAAGATTTCTCTCCCCTACTCGTGTTACGGTTCGAGCTACGGGGTTTGTCGAGACCCGATCACGGACGATTTTAAGGTTGTGATCCTGTCCTATAGTTACTACACGGTGTATTCATGCAAGAACAATTCATGGAAGAAGAAGATGAAATACGAGTGCATCGAGTACTTTTATTCTGGATACAGTTATACTTCGATAATGGACGGTTGTCCCGGGGTGTGCGTTGACGGTGCCAGCTATTGGGTTGTGGAAAAATCGAAAAGAATTATGTATTTCGATCCGAGAGACGACAAGTTCAAGATTCTGCAGAAGCCGGAGAGTATTGCAGATGATGACGTCAGCAAGTCGATTTTCTTGGTTGATTTGGGAGGCAGCTTGTGCCTTTATTGCAACGGGAGAGACGCGACTAGGGTTACGATTTGGGCAAAGGAAAAGGGCATTGATAGTAATTCTTGGAAGAAGTTGGTAACTATTAGGAATGTAGAGACGTCGATTAAGCTGTTTGAGCCGCAATGTTTCGTCGGAAATAAGATTGTGATTCGAGTACAGTATGATAAGGGATTGGTAGTGTACAACACTTCTAAGAAGAGGTTTAAGGAATTGAAGGAAACAAAGGCTTTTGGAATTGGATTGGTTCCGTATTTGGATACTGCGTTTTTCCCTATCGAGAAATCGAGGTCGAAGAGGAAGCGGAATTCTTTACAATAGAATATTATTAGTTAGCATTACGTAGTCTTAGTTTGATGTTTGGTTTGCTCGAATAGATACGTTTACGTACACGTTTTGTTTCGTTTAATGTTTTGGTCGCGCTATTACTTACTAATTGTCATGATCCATGTTAGTTTTGGTTATTGACTTCGTTGCTTAATCAGGTGACAGGTGGTAACAAAAACCATTGTCACTTTTTTGCACATTAGATCATCTTATTTCGAACTCGTGCATCGATCTTATATTTCGTATATGTCACGCATTTGTTGTTTTGAGCCGCTAATGTTTTGTCGGAAAATAAGATTGTGATTCGAATAAAGGGAATGGAAGGTGATGGATTAGTATTTTTTACTGCCCTTATGAGAAGAGATTTACTTGAAGACACAAAGGCAAAAGGGGATGTCGGGTTTGCAGAACCTACACCAGGTGAAATATCAGTTTTACACCATTGATCTACACAACGGTTTAATATAAGTATGGTATATATCTCCAGGCGTGGGGTCTCATCTAACAGAGGTTTCCCAAAGAATATTATATGCTTTCTTTATATATATATATATATATATATATATATATATATATATATATATATATATATATATATATATATATATATATATATATATATATATAAGAAATTTGTTATTTACATATTCCTGGTGAAATACATCATGTAACTTTACACTATTGATCGACACATAATAACACATACACCCATGTGTATGTGTACTTACTGTTATTTATGTTGATCTACGATTTAAAACCATATAGTGTATTTCACCAGGTATATGATCTCATAAACCTTTACATATTAACCTAACTAGCTAGTCCCCATGCACTATTCTTCACAATCTGCTAGCCTGCTACTACCAAGAAAAATAAAAATTCGAAACCCTCATTTTTTAAGTAAATTGTATTTGATTAGATAATAATATACATTATTTTCTTAATTTTAGTTTAGTTCTAAAGAGAAGAGTTTTAAAACAGCAAGAGGTCATTACAATAGAAAAACTGTATTTTATTACAATAGGTCCTTCTCTCTCGTTCACACAACACCGTTGAAGAAAAAGTCCGATTCTCTATTTTCGAACGTATTTATTTTAATATTTACTTTAATGTCAAAAAAAGAAAAACTTAAATTATAGTTATTTATTTATTTTTATGTTCTTTATAGTTTTAGTATTTTATCGGGTTCTTTGATATAACCCCCAATATTTATCTCTCCCCAAACTATTTAGCACCATTCCAGCTAGTTGTTTTTCCAATCACCTCCTCATCAGCACTATCACTTGCTATGCGGCTACCTCATCAACTGTTTTTTAATTATTATTATTTTTATTTTTATATATTTTTCATTTTTCTAATTTTATTTTTATAGAAATTAATTACAAGACAAAAAAGTAAATAGGAACCAATTTATTCATCAAAACAAGAGTGGATTACAATATTTGGGCATCTCCCCTAGCTAATTCAATTCAAGGGCTTAGAGCTTGTTCTTGAATTGAATAAGTATAATCAGGTCGAATTGAAATATGTTATGAGTTCGAGGCGGATGCTCGAGACGTGAGCTTAAAATTGAGGGCCAGAAATCGACTCATACATTGGCAGGTCCGGTTCTGAGTCAAGGGGGCGGGCCGGGGCTGTCGTCGGGTCTGGTCTAACCTGGGTCCGGGTCTAACCCGGCCCGTGGCTATGTTTAATTGGAAATAGAAGGCATATAAGGAAATATGACTACTATTGTAACCCCAAAATGTTTAGGGACAATTTTGAAAATGTGGATAAAGTTTGAGGACGAAGAATGTATTTTTCCTCATATTATACGACTATTCGATTTTCAGCCCTAAAATTGAGATCGCGGTTTTAGTCAATGTTGCCAAATTTTTTTTTACAGTTTTCTTCTGCGGTCTTACTTTTTTTGTTAAATTCAACAACACAAATTACGTATTTAAACATTTATAATATAATAGGAAGAAAAAAAATATTCCTAATAATAACCATATACCTATCTATTACTAATATCATGCATAGTAGGAACAATAATTGACTCTATGTTGCCGTTTGTATAGGACTACCTCTATCTCGCAAATTTATTTTCTTCTTATTATTTTACTTTTGCTACTCGTCAAGGTAATAAACTGGTTCATTCTCTTAATTCGTTGACTGTTAATGGTTGTTTGAAGGGATGTTTCCTTCCCCCGTTTTTGGCCATGTGTACCTAATCTAATTCATATGTTCCCCTAAAAAAATATTATGCATGGTAAATATAATACGACACGTGCATTGCACGTGCAATGCAAGTTCACCTGCCTAGTAAAAACAAAAAAAAAAGGTTTTTAAGAACAAAAATGTGGTTTTTAAGGGTTTACATGTATAATTGCACCTGCCAATATTAGTTTTTTAGCTCGAATGACGTTCATCGTCTTTTTGTGACCTACCTGTTCTTAGTATTTCATTCCTGATCACATTAGTCTATTCATATTCCGAACTACTAATTTGTTCAGATTCATGAACGAATTAGAACCCTTGGGAATCGGGACATCACAAATCTCTTCTAGGTTGTGATCATCGTTTAGCAGTAGAGTCTTCAATAAAGGAAAAACACCCAATTTAAAATAAGTTGATGTAGTTGTATTCACCAATTTCTCCAATGTCGAACATTCATTCAAACACAATCACTTCAAGTTTCCAAGTTCTATTGGATTCCAATTGTTCAAGTAGAAATCACGCAAGAATAAGGCTTCGGATTTTTTGACAAACTTGTCAATCCAATTTCTTTAAGGAATTTGTTCCGAAATTCGAAGAAACATTCTTTTTGTAAGATTGCTGCAGCCTAGAGAGTCGTAGAAAGAGTCGTGTTCTAGGGAGGAAAAATTTCACCAAGAGCGATACTATATTTCACTATTTTTCTTGAAAGGCGCAACTCTTCATCAACCAAAGAAGAATCATCTATCTTATTCTCCAACCAAGTCAGATCCGGCAGTGACTCAAGCTCCTTCAGGGTTGCACTATCCCATTTCGAAAAACAACCTACTATCTTCAACTCCTCCAACTTAACAAGCTGAGAAATTGTTCCTTGTGCTAACTTTCTGAAAAAGTAACAGCCCACTAACTCTAACAATCTCCGGCGATTTAGTTTTCCAAACTCCATGGATAACTCTTCGAAGGCGCAATAGAGA